AATTTCTACAAAAATCTCGCTTTATGCAATGCTGCCCTCATCCTTCAACATGGCGAGCTTGTACATGCATACGCCTAGAGGAATGCGGAGCTTGAGTACTTTTCGCCCATGCTGCAGGATAGATGGATACTTTTGCAAAATCAAAAATCTCTGACAAATTGGCCAGAGAAGCCTAGCTGATTGCATAGGAACTCTTAAAATCAATTAGACTACTCAGTAATAATGGTACAATCTATATTCAATTTTACATATCGAATATTCAAAAACCTCTTTCTTTTGTACTTCATGAAATAAATACATAAATTTTTTGTCCCTGCCTACATGATGAAATTTATAAGAAATGGTAGCATGAAGGGTATTTTGACAGATAAACATAAATATACGGTGTCTTTATATTATATAAGAAATATAAATGGTTTGTCGAAGATATGAAGACCAAGATGGTGTGGCACTCGGTATGGTCGCAGTCTCCCTTCGATTTATATAAGTTGGTTGACCTCGTTTCTGCAACTGGGTCTTGTTGCCAGGGCGACTTAGTCTAAAGTCCTCTGCCATAATGGTTATCATAATTCCCTGCATCAGACCATGGACTTGATAGCGTAACCGTTTTGACAGAACGTTGATCGAGGGATTGACTTCACTTGTCTCTTTGACTAGATTGTAGCTTGGTGCAGAGAATGGCAAGACTCACTGATGAGGCTGGCTATAATGCCGGCGAAACGTTTGAGAATGTATCAAGTCCACGGTTTCATGCTGGGAATTATGATAACTACTATGGCAAAGGACTTTGGACAAGATACGTTCTACTAAGTTGCCCTGATAACAAGTACAATTGCGAAAACGAGGTCAATCCACTTTCATAAACTTTTTTAGTTGCTCCTTACATTAACCTATTAAAAAATGATTACATTGAATTAATGCCCACTTTACATTCTACAATTAATGTAGTGGTCCATATTTAAATTCGATTTTTACTCTACAATTAATACCATAGACATAATAATATCCAGATTGGATTCTTATGTAATTATGCGTTTATATAATCTGTCTACCTTTTATACATATACAGACTAGCTAATGTTATCGCCATTTATTTATTTCTGCAGATAATTACACTTTAACTATTAAGCACAGGCTATTTTAGTATAGGCCGTGTTCTATAACTGACAGAAAATAACGAATTAAAAAAAAATTAAGATGATAATCTCTTAAACATTTCTTATCCGCTTATTTTCTTGGGGAGCATCATCTTCTACTAAAATGTGCCTTGTCGTGATGGCATTAGATACCATCCAATTTTACTTAGCCTAGAATTTTACCTTCAAAATGCTTTCTTATCCAGACTGGAATTCAGTTTAAACTATGGTCTCATCCCCACCCCCAACAGGATTTGAAACCAGATTGTGAGTTTAAAGAGTTGGCAAGTTGCCACTACGCGATACGGCCACGGATGCTGAAGGTTCATAGGGCAAAGTGGCTTCTCATGGTAAGCCATGTCACTTCCATTTCGAGGGTATGAAACAAGTGATGCAAGCAAGGATTGTTTAGATTTTTATGGATGTATTTTTTATTTTTGAGAATTACGATAGAATTAGTAGAAAAGCAACAAAAGTCCCTAAATCAAACTAAAATGGGAGTATTCTTTGATGTGGTCGTATTAATGTTTTCGGCTAACTAGAAGTTCTACCTCGTCTTATTGACTCAACCATTTTGGGTGTGCTTATCTTATAAAAGGGCTGACTTTGTACAGCAAGCCACAACTCGCATTGCTCACGACACCAGATGCGTAATTCATCTTTCTGTTGTTTCCGTTTCTAGCGATCCTGCCCCGGCATGGCTTTTTTCGTGGCTCTAGCCAACTTCGATGCAGAAAGAGTAGTCAGAGGACGTCATATCCCAACATAAAAAAGCAATTATAAAGACATTACATAAGAGTATGATTCTCCATATGTCTTCTGAGGTTGAAGCCTGTTATAATGACATATGTTCATATTTTAAGAAAATCTTTTTCAGACAAGGTGTTTGGAAGCAAAAATTCATAAAAATAGGGTTTAAAACAAGTGTTTAGAGTCCTAATGGCTGTCTCGTCTACTGCTGGATCCATTTAATGTAACTTTTATTATTCCATCATGCCAAGGGGTATAGAAATTCGCATTATTTACTCAGACATTTAATAAAAAAACTTGAAAGCCCTTGGTTTATTTCTCTCTACTAGTAGACAATCTCAAATATAAATTTTCAGATGTTCTGGAACTCAGCATGGCACCGGAAAATTAAGTTACTCAACACTTTCCACTTAGTAGCATCAGATACTTAAACAAAAGAGAATAAGTTTCCTTTTTTCGTATTAGACAGATGTTAATTTATCCCTGAAATAGCATATTGTTTTTTGCATCAATCATGTCTTGATTAACCCTTTTAGTCCGCGACAAAGCAAAACATAGGGGATGGCGTCTTCTTGTTGGAGAGGATGACATTTTAGTTGGAGAAAATGGCTTTTCACGAATGCCAGAACAAGATGACAGCATAAGGTGACATTGTTTGTTTTGCTAAATCACGTGGCAGACATAGCTTTCTGACAAAATCGGATCATCGCGAGATGCCATCGCTGGCATTTCTGAAAGCAACATCGTAGGCCCTCCAAAATCGGTCTTCCTGAGGGCTTGAATTCTGCAAGGAAGGCATGGAGTCAAAAACCCCTGAGTGTTTGCTACACATTTTTTTATTTTACTTTGATAAGACAGGGAAGTAATGAATAGTCTGCTTCAGCCATAATAATAGGATGTAGATAATAGTTTAGTAGCGCCTGCGCATTAGACCAAGATTCTAGACACTCAAATGTTTGCTATAAAAAGGATAAATTGAAATAATACCGTTCAAACTGTATCGAGAAAAGCCGGTTGTATCAGTGCTGGCTTGAAGGAAATGGCAATTAAAATGGATTCTAGTCTCAAACTAGTTAGAAAATGAAGGCCCTTTTGCCTCTGCCCGCAATGGTTCGACTGCACCGAGGCGCTAGTACCGATAAACCATTGTTTCTTTTCATTTCAAACGTGTCCAGCCTTTGTCCTTCATTTGACAGACATCTTTAAGGCTGGGCATCTTCCTTAAATCGATTTTGGGATAACAATAAGTCAAGAAAACTAACCAGTTTATTAAATAAATTGAAACATTATTGGCATACCATTCTTTCATAGGAGTGATTAGCAGCTCTTAATGCTGGTAGTTGCCGAACAACTCAGCATGGAGTGCCGCGATCCACTTATCGTCTCAACCCTGATCCACAATCATGATGTTTCTCTGATAAATCCGCATGATTGGCATATATATCACGTTTTTTCTGAATAATTTCAACCTATGGTCGCTAAATATACTTGAAAATGCGTCATACTTGCCCATATTCATTTGTGCAGATATGCTGCACACAAGCATTGATTCACTATCCAGTTGGTATGTACTTTTGTATAAATTCAGGCATGTACATTTGAGTATTTATAAATAAATATACATATATACACACGTGCATACATACATACATATATACATAATTTTGAATAGTACTTATTTTTAGTTGCTATAAAAAGATGACAGAGGGATACTGATAATAAATTAAGTACTAAACTATTTTCTGGTCAAGAAAGTCTGCCAAAATTAGAGCCTAAGAATTGCAATTTACCACATCGAGGTGGCCTGAAGTCCTTAAGTCGTATTGGTTAAGGTTTACTCAAGAATATCTATCAGAAATATCTATCAGAATATCTATCAGAAATCACCAATAATCAGTGCTAAATTCTTTTTTTTACCAGAGCTTCTTACAATTGTTTTGTGCAATTATTCAGCTAGCCTTCAATGGACCAGAAAATATGAGAAAAGCTCTACACTGAGTTGCTGCTAAGATGATGGTAGTGTATTTATAAGGTCTGAATTTACATCTTAATCGCATTAATGTCTCCACTTGCTTAAACATGCAGACTATGTATCGTATAATGATTAGGGTTCGGCACTATCAGTAGATCTTAGGCAAGAGCTGCAGTCACCCTAGGTCGCATATAGTTGTGGGTGCTGAGAGACCCAGGCGAGGTCGAAACTGTAGTCCAATCCATCCTGGATGAGAATACCCTTTGGAAAAAAAGCCTAATCAAAGTTCAATGACATTGCAAGGTCTACTCGTATTATCGTGGAAAACTCAACTATCAGAATGTCATCGTTTTATGCGCATCAAACGGAATACAGATCTTATGATCCACATATTTGTATGCCATTGCATATATGCACTGAATACACTTGTGCATCCACCGATCTTAGCAAATAGAGAGCTATGAAAGCACTCTTTACCATATCTCCCAGCTCGTATCTCGAGATGACCACTTTAGCGTATCCCACATGGGACTAGTTCAAGCGGGCTTTTAAGTGGTCGCGAGTCATTGACCCATCGCCTCCTCAGCACGAGTGTGGGGCCCCATTATTATTGCAATCACATGATTATAGGATTTTTTATTTTTTCTTCAGGCTCCAATTGTCGCTTGGCAACTATAAAAAAATAATTCATTTTTTGAACCACATTTATATTATAGTTCAAGCAATGGTATCCAAGACTGTGAGAAGACAAGGCCAACAACCCAGAATCGAGATTGCATCTGGCAGGCTTGTCCTTACGAAAAGCATCCTCTCTTTCATCAAAGGCTTGGTTTCTGGTTGGAGTATATATTCTGTCATTCCGTTGCCACTTGAACTGTGGCGCATAAATGCCCTATAACTGGATTCGTGGAAGGTTAGAGTGAGTTAGAATGGACTATAACGAGAAAAGTGACTTGTGTGCAGACAGACCTTGTGGATCATGTCCTTTACTTGCTCCATTGTGGTTGGATTTATTAGAGTTGTGCAAAGTTTCTAAAGCTTAATTCACAATATCGGAACTCTATTTACACAGAGGGAGGGGATGGGGGTGATTTGTAAAACTAAGCTAATTCCTTTACTTCTCGGCCGATATAAACCCGACGATGGGGCTTCTGCTTAACTCCATTCTCTCCATCCTCCTCTCGTACCCCTTTTCCCTTGTACCAGTTACCTATAAACACGGAGGACGCCTACTGCCAAATGTGGAGCGGTACGGTCTGCGCGTGTCTCGCCTCGATCTTGGTTCTTCTCAGCTGACCGGCGTTTCCTGGTCAAATCGTCAAGGAAGCAAATATTTGCAGCATCGACGCCGGCAACCACGAGATGTCAAACCTCTTCCAGTCGGCCAGGAGGGCAATAGCTACAGTAGTGCCGAAAGTGATCCGGATGAAGATAATTCGAAGATCACTTTCAGCGAGTTGACTTCTAAAAGAAGAGAGGAACACATGGGCAATGCGAGTTTAGGTGGGTTTCGCAGTCTTTTTCAACATATATGGACACCCTGATTCCTAGTGACAATCACCTAGACAGAGATTTTGCATTTTTTCTGTTTAATTCATATACATTTTCAATGTTACCAAATTTCGCATCACATAAAATTTGCCTCATAAATAGCTGGGCCATATTCTCAATGTTGTGTAGATTTCATCTTCCTCTTTCAGTAATTAAGTGTTTGTAGACTCAGGATGCTTTTTTGGGGTCACCTAATTCATCTTAGTTCACATTAGTGAAGGCTCTTTGACTTTACAGACTTATTCAGGTAAACCGTTTAATATGTTTTATTGAATCTCTTAGACCTTCTCAACTAACTGCTATCAATATGAAGACCAAGATGTTTTGATCGAAGTCTCTTTCCCTTGTACAGAAGTGGTTTGAACTTGTTTTCCAAACTTGAACATGTCGTCAGGGCAACCTAGATGAATTCTACTTGTCCGAAATACCACGCTATAGTGTTCATGATAATGATCCTTATCGAACCATAAACCTCGTGCCCTCTCAGACGTTTTGCCTGCTTCATCCGTTAGTCTTGCGAGCCATAGTTAACCCAAAAGCTTGATGAAAGCGTATACTGTGATGGGAACCGAGTGACATCAGACAACCGGCAAGATGAGAAACGGGTATCCAAGGGCGTGAGGGTGATTCCGATAAGCAATTCCGGCAAATCGAGATGAAGGAAAGAGAGAGATAAAACTAAGCCAGTATAATAAAGCCCAACTAAAATAGCTAAAAAGAGCACCTCTATAGTAATTTAAAATAAACTAGTTAAAAATTATGATTACGAGGCGTTAGCTATGAGGATAGGTGGTAGATGGATGCATCAGGACAAAAGGAGTGATAATAACCTTTTGGTCAAGGGATTGACGTCACTTGTCTCTTAAACGTGTTTCAAATCGGCGCTAAGTCTGGGATGCCGGCGAAACGACTGACAAAGTCCCAAGTCCACGGGTTAACGTTGGAAATTAT